TCAAAAAACACAGTCATGCAAATAAAAAGCAAGCTATTGAGTGGAAGAGCATTTTTGCAAAGCAGAGACTTGTATGCGCAGTTACATAATAGGCGTTCAAAATTCAGTCATATATAACTCAATTAAAGAACAGGAAAGGGAAAACTGAACAGACACGTCATGAAAGAAGACCGATGGGTAGGGAATTAGTACATGAAAAGAGGCTCCGTATCATTAGGCATTCTAAGTAACTAACTCACTTGCACTGAGCCCATGCCAACTCACAGCACACTACAGGGCAGGGTAGAACTGCCCTTGTGAATTTCCAAGACCGTAACTCTTTTTTCTTTCTTTTTTTTACTCTCTTTCCTAGAGTAGCAAGCCTCCTCTTTCTCCAGTAGAGGGGCTGGTAGTTTTGAACTGCTGACCTTTCAGCTAGCAGGCCAACCACTGGTCCACCAGGGCTCCAAGTGTTATGCAAATCAAAACCACAGTGAGATACCACTCCCCACCAATTAGAATGGCTAAAACTAAAGAGAGACCATACCAAGTGTTGATGAAGGTGTGAAGGAATTACAACTCCTATACATTCCTGATGGGCATGTAAAACGGTACAATCACTTTGGAAAAACATTTTGGTCATGTCTTGGAAGACTTAACAATTATCTGCTACATGATCCAGATACCCATACCTAAATATTCAAAGGAATATTAAGGCACACATAAACTTACACACAGATGTTTACAAAGCTTTCTTCGTAACAGACGAAAACGGAAAGCAACCCCAGGACCTATCATAAATGAATGCGATAAGCACGTTTCGGTATATTCTACACAACAGAATGCTACTCAGAAATAAACTATTACTATACATACTACACAATGAAAGAACTGAAGTGTAAAAAAATTAACTATGCTGAGTGAAAGAAGACAGGGAAAAAAAGACTAATTTCTTTGCTATAAACCCTAGCAAATACGAATGAATTGATAGCAACAAGAGGTGAAGGGAGCCACAGCACAGGGGCACGAGGAAACACACGTTCACTACTTTCATTGTGTCGATGGTTTCATTAGCGTACACATATGACACAATTCCCCAAATCGTAGACTTGACATATTTCACTGGTGCCGTTTTCTGATCTCAATTGTATTTAAGCTAGTTTTTAAAAGGCTAGGAAAGCACATTTCTAAATAGCTTTTGTTTCAGTTCTAACATATTCCTAAATATGTTAAGGAGAGATTCTAACGGAAACTCCAGTACTTGAAACAGATTGGTAATAGCAATATGAGATATGAAAATGTGAGATACAGGAAAAGTAATACTTTATAGAAATGTCAGTATGCTTTATATTAGTCAAGAAGGGTTAAAACTTAAGAAGTCAGAGGTAAAGAACAAATAAGCCAAATGGCAGAAGAAAGAAATAATAAAGATATACCAGACATTAATAGAATGCAGAATAGAATGGCAGGGCCAAAGGTTGGTGTCCTGGACTGAATTGTGTCACCCAAAACATGTGTCAATTTGGCTGGGTTATGATTCTCAGTGATGTAAAATCTGGCAGGGTTGTAATGATGGAAGAATCATCCCCGTGAGATTAGGTGGGACAACCAATCAGTCCTAAAGAGGATTAAGGGGGTGAGGGAAGGAGAGGATTAAGGTGGGATGACACACTTTAGTTCAGGTCACAGTCCTGATCCAAGGAAGGGAGCTCCCCTGGGGTGGGGCCTGCATCCCCTTCATCTTACAAAAGATGAAAGCAAAGAGAAGTACCACCAAGAAAGAAGACCTGAGGACGCAGGGCCCCTGCACTGAGAACCTCCTAGACTCAGAGGGAGATTAATGCCAAGACGCACGGAGCTTTCCAAGGAATGCCCAGGCCCACTGATACAGAAAGACACAAGAAGGTCTTGCCCCAGAGCTGACAGGGAATGAAAACCTTCCCAGAGCTACTGCTCTGAATTCAGACTTCCTGAGAACGGATTTCTGTGCTTTAAAACCACCCGCTTGTGGGATTTGTTATCAGCGCTAGATACTAAGACAACTAGCATTATCACAATTGTGCACGGGATGGTTAACGTGCTAGGCTGTCAGTCTCCGTGGTTTGGCAGACACTGGACAGACTGCTCTTCCATAACAGAATCATGCTCCACTTTGTGATCTGACTGCAGTTCAGTCTCCTTGGTGGTATGGGCTTCAAAGTGGGTGTGGAAATAAGGGATTAAAAGATCATGGCATTTTCCCACCAACTGTTTTTTTTAAAATCATTTTATTGGGGAATCGTACAACTCTTATCACAATCCATATATCCATCCATTGTATGGTCAAGCACATTTGTACATTTGTTGCCATCATCATTCTCAAAACATTTGCTTTCTACTTGAGCCCTTGGTATCAGCTCCTCCCCACCAACTTTTTGAAGCCTTTTTTCATATAGATGATCTGTTTTGATCCTGCATCTAACTCATCATCCTCTGACCTCTGGTATTGGCCATATGAGCCAATGGCTTTATCTCTAACCAGGGAATTTTGGATTCAGCAGACCCTGCAGCTGCACGAGTCAGCAGAAGCCTCCAACCTGCTGTGTGCCCAGGGATTTAGGACTTCACAGCTTCCACAGCTGTGTGGGCCATTTCCTTGAAATGGATCTTTTTATTTATTTACTTCTTTCCCTGATTCTGCTCCTCCAGAGAATGGAGCCTATATCCTCTTACCCACCTATTCTCCTTCTAGGAGATAAATTCACACGTGTGTGAAATGACACATGAACAGAGTCATTCATCGCAGCCTTGCTTACCCCTGAGAAAGAAGAAAAACCAACCCATCCATCCACAGGAGACTCTTGGAAGAAGTCAGTCTATCCATAGAACATTTAGAAATGAACTCTGAGGTGCACAAGGGGGTTTCAGAAGTTCACAGGACATGAGATCAAAAAAGTAATGGAGTTTTCCCACAAACTTTTGGGAGCCCTCTCATATATTGGTCGGTGAAAAAAGAAAGGTGTGGAAAAGGTGTTTGGCAAGCAACTAGTTTTAAAAAAACAAAAGTAAGAAGTACAGAAATAATGCATGTATCTGCACAAGTGATCTCAGAAAAAAAGTGGGGAACAAAGACTGCTTACTGCAGGGGAGTTGGTGAATGGAAGACAGACACGGAAGGTTTTGGGGGTTGTTGTTTTCGGGTTTTGTTTTTGTTTTTTTGCATTTTGCATTTTGTTGTCAATCCCTTTAAACTTCTAAAATCTTTTAACCGTGTGTCTTGTGGGATACCAGCCCCCACAATCGAATGGGTTCAATGGGTGGTTGTGTAATTGAGGGGTAAAATTAAAGAGACATCAGACAAGGCATGCAAGGGCTCACCTCCGGGACTGCCATGGCTTCAGGAGCCAGGTCCACAGAGAGAGAGAGAATATATTTCCAACCAAGGCTATTTTATATACACTCCAGGGGCATGCCAGGTCCCCTAATTACAGGTAAGTACATAAGCAACAAAGTGGGCTATACCCTAACCCTAAAGGTCCCTGAGTACCCTGGAGGAGTAACAGCATCAGTGCCAGGGGCAGGTAAGGGGGAGTGGCTGTCTTCAGAGGCTAGAGAGCAATAGCACATGTCTGCTCCAATGGTTAAAGCTGCCGGCTACATATCAGTCAGCCATGTGCTTGTAAGAGGTAACCTTCAAATAGCACCATTATGGGAGGAAATAGCGGGGAATAATATTAATTATGAGACTATGATTGGGACTTCTCTCCAACTCACAAGGAGGAAGACCGCCCTCCACCCCAGAAACCCAGCCTGCCAGGCTTCTTATTACATGAGAATACGGCATTCATCTGCATACACTCGCTTCCTGTTCTCTGCTTTCCACAGTGTCTTACCTATTAAAAGGGCAACAATACAGTAGCTTATATGCTGATACAGATTTATTTCTAAGATACATGGTTACCACCCCCACCCCCCAAAAAAAGCAAGCTAGAGTATTATGTAGATGGTCCTTAGCCGGCACAAATGGCTTGTACGTGACTGCTTTCTGTAGTCAAGGTCCTCAGAAATAAAGACCTGGTGACCATTTCTGTTAAGATTACAACCAAGAAAGCCCTAGGGGGGCACTTCTCGGTGGCGGCACCAGGGGCCTCCCTGAGTAGGAACTGGCTTCACGACAGTGGTTTCGGTTGGTTGCTGTTGGTTTTAAAGCACGTGCACAGCATGCAGTCCCAGAGGTGGGCAGTGGCTTTGCACGACATACTCCTGTGTTATGGTACCTTGGGAAGGTTGTACTTTGTATGTGACTTTCCAGGGTCACACCGGGGGTCAAGTGCCCAGCCCCTAACCAAAAGGAGGAGGAGGTGATAGTCAGCTTCCATAAAGATTTACAGCCTCGGAAAGCCACTAGGAGCAGCTCCTGCTCCATCCTATAAGGCTGTCCTGAGCCACAAGTGACTCCACACAGCAGTAGGCTTGGGTTTGAGTGTATATGAATTTCCTATTCAAAAGGAAAAAAATTTTTTTTAAATTCTGGTTGGAGGAGGTGTTTTCATGTGCATCACCTTGACAGGCCTGTGATTGAGACCTGCCAACCGTTTCCCCGCTTTTCAAATGAAGGGCATTCAGAGAAGTCACATGCAAGAGGGCGACGGTCAAAACCAGAGCCCAGCTTTCCCTGACTTGCCCACACCGACCCCTCCAGCCTCTTGCAGTGGAACAGCTCACTTCTCACCCCCGCCCAGTCCACCTTCCTGTCAAACCCCCATCCACCCCTGCCCCTTCAGTAGCCTCCTCTACTCACTGCCCTCCCAGGATTCCTGCATCAGGGAAAGAGGCTCCTAAACCCAGGTAGGCAGAGAACTTGCTAGCAGGGGCTTCCCTTGTGACTGCTTGCTCCTGATGCTGATAGTTTCTGTCCAGGACCCTGCGCCCACCAACATGGGGCCTCGGTGCGGGTGGGCAGCTCAGCTCCTCCCTGGAGCCATTGTCCTTGAACCAGTCCTTCCTGGCCTGCAGCTCCCCACCCCCTCCCCTGGCTGTACCTGTCAATAATGACGGGGTCAGAAGGGGTCTCATTCCGGTTGCCACAGCTCTTTCGGTCACAGCACCGGCTGAAGGAAGGAGGAGGGAGGAGGCAAAGGAAGGAGAAGGGAAGGAAAGGACAGATGATGATGATGATGATGTGTGTGTGTAGGGGTGAGCCCCCGGGTGAGGATGCTGATGTCCTTCCTGTCTCAGGGGACAGGGATGGAGTCCCAGGGTCAAGGGGAGGAAGACTATGAGGGTCCCTCCTGGGCTCTGGAGAGCTCAGCCCTGGGAATACAGGTTGTCCGGGAAACAGAGAAGGCAGGATCCGGGAGGGGGCAGACTGCAGGTCCCTCCAGGGCCTCTCTCTGTTCTCCCTCAGTACGGCGGGTGTCACCTGCACATAGCAGAGTGCTGAGATTGTAAGCAGTGGGCTGGATGAATTTTCACAAAGGGAGGGACCCCACCCATGGAAGGAGCACCCAGATAAGAAATACCAGGTGCCCAGCACCTCAGCATCCCCTACATCCCCTTCCCTCCAGAAGGGTAGCTGTCACCCCAGCCAGACTTTCTTCATACAGAGCTGCCTCTGAAACCCTGATCTCGACCTTCGGGGAGGCCCTGCCTCCAAAGGCAAAGCCCTGGGGAGGACAAGAGCGATGTCCCCTAAGAGCCGCCCACCTTCTCCTTCAGCTGAAGCTCACTTAGGAGGCACCAGCTTCCTTCCTCCTGCTTCTGAGCAAATCCCAGTGGCCTCCCCACGTCTCTGGCCAAGCCCTTCCCCCACCTCCCCAGGGACCCCATCCCCAGAGTTTTATTAGTGAAGCTTAGCAGTATCAGCAGGGGCCCTCTCTCACAACAACACTTGGAGAAGCCACATAAACAGGCCAGGCTAATGGGACCTCAAGGACCAGGGCCTCAGCCTGAGAGGTTCTCAGGGGCTCACCCCTCGCCCATGCCCTCCCCGCACCAGGCTTCCCCAGGGAGCTGCAGCGGAGGCTCTTGCCCAATAGGGGTTGGGGCAGGGCTTGGTGGGAACCCTTGGCAACCTCCTGGCCCAGTGGCAAGGTGATCCCTCCCTCTGTGCCCCTGCAGTCCCGTGACCCAGCGCATGCATCGCACCTGCACATAATCTCGTGGGTGAGCAGCACTCGGCACATCTCGGGGTTCTTGTCCTGTCCCTCATAGATGATGGCCTGCGGTGGGGGGGGGGGGGCAGAGCAGGAGCTGGAGGGAAGGCCCGGCCCAGCCTCCCCAGGGAAGACCATGCTATCCCACTCACTCTGGGGGACCCACGAGGGCAAAGCAAAAGCGCAGTGCTTAAACAAGGACCACCGCCGCCGCCGCTGTAGGCAAGAATGACTCACGGCTATGAGCCTGCAGGCAGCTGTGGGTGACTTCAGCTCTGCTGTCCCCAGGTCACAAGGACTAAGGTCAGCGCTGTAGGTGGGGTAGACACCCTCCTAGCTCCCTACTTCCACGTGCTCCTCCCCTCACCCCAACGTCCTTGGGGTCTGAGGCTGTTTCCAGGTCACCAGGGGCCCTCTGCCTCCTATTCATAAATGTGGCCCCTTTTGACCCACCCTGGCAGTTAATCAGTCCCGCCCCAACACTTCACCACTACGCCACCAGGGCTCCTTTCAGGGGCAACTAACAACAGTCGTTTTCTCCCTCCAACTGTCCCTCCCCTCCCACTGGCCCCGGAGACCACAGCCCTCCTTAAAACAAACCATTTCTTCCTTTCTCTGGAGGTTGGGTGGAGGCCTGGGGGGGAAAGACCAGCCTCTTACGCCAGGACCTACTGGAGATCAGCAGCCCCCCTCCTCACCTCACTGGGGGTGTGTGTGTGTGTGTGTGCAACTTCCCTGAAACACCCTGAGCCCGAGGCCCTACCTCCATAGACTCCATTAGGTCTGACTCGGGGTTCAAGTCCCCAGAACTCCCTAGGCTGTGCCTGGCACACTGCAGGCTCCACAAATGCTGGCGAGGGAAAGGAGAATAAGGAGGCAGCGGCCTCTAAGACTGCCACTCAGACTCTCCCAGAACGCTTGGCTCCTCTTCTCCAGCGCCAGCTGGGCCTCCTTCCTCTGACCTCAGCCAGGTGGGGTGCGTCTACAGTAGGAGCTCTTGGGCCCCCACTCAGACCCCTGAGCAGGGTCAGGGCACTCACCCCTCGGCTGCAGTTAGTGTGTGCTGCTCAGAGCTCTCTCTGGAGACTCGCTCTCCACGGCTGAGAGCTGCCTTACCTGAAAGGTCCTGGAGGCACACCCTTCCCTTAGGAGTGGTCCCCAACAGAGGCTGCCTGGCCCCAAGTGAAGGGAGGGCGTGGTAGCGCTGGTCTCCCTCCTTCTTCGGGGTCCTGGCAGAGCCCACCTTGCTGAGCCCCTTCTCTTCTCCTCGATGTCCTGTCCTGCTTCCCTCGCTCCCCTCTTCCTGAGAGCACCCCAACAAACCAGGAGCACCCAAATCCCCATCTCAGATTAGGCTCTAGGGAGTGTGCCCCTCTTCCTGTGCCCTGGAGCAGGCATGGGGACCGGGCTAGGCTGATGAGGGTGGAGGGCGGGGAAAGAACGCAGAACACACACAATGCTACCCCTCTCTTGGAGACCAGGGTCTCAGCAGAGGGTGGGTGTGATGAGCCTGAACGCCCCAGGGGGCCTCACCTGCTTGGACATGGAGTCGATGAGGCGCACGTAGAGGTCCTGTTCTGTCCGAAGTCCTGGTCGGAGAAGGCGAGAGGCTCATTAGGTTGGGAAGACGCGTGGCCTCTTAAGGCTGGACCATACCCTCCCCATCTGGTGCCCCGGGGCCCCCTCCGCCCTGAAACTGGGGACATATGCCACACCAGGTGCCTGGGCATCCCATGTGGGGCCAGCCCCACTCACCATTATTGTACACCAGCCGCAGGCGGTAGTGGACCCCGTTGTTGGTCTTCTCGGCTCCATGCTCCTGCAGGAACAAGGTGGGGAGGGTGCTCAGACATTCCCAGGGATCCCTCCCCTGCCCCCATCTCCCCCGCACCTTCTGCACCCATCCATGCAGCTACCCCCGTCCGTCCTTCTCCAGCTCCCAAGTCTCTGCCCCACCCAGTGCCCCGTGCCAGCCGGCCCACGAGCCTCTCACTCGGTCCTTCTCCACGAAGTCGATGAAGGCTGTGCGCTCCACCTCCACAGGCTGCCCCTGCCGGTCGTACACGGCCAGCACAAAGTGGAAGAAGTTGGATTTCCTGAGGTTGGAGGGGGGCTGCTTCTCGAAATGTGCTCGTGCCAGGCCCACACCACTGCAGGGGAGGGGAGGAAAGGAGCTGGGAAAGGACCTCCTCTGCTCAGGAAGACCCCATGCCTCTGACGGGGGGAGAGGGGAGGCCCCTCGCGGCCTGGCCCGACTTAGGCAAGGAATCAACCCAAACGGGCCCTTTTTCATCTCAGCTCCAGCCAGAGGTCTCCCAGGACTGGGGTCCCCCTCCACCTGCTCCCCTGAGGAACAGGAGCGGCCATCGGTGACTGCCAGAGAGGCCGCCTTGCCAGCCCCCCTGCCAGGACTTCCTCCTGGGCCCCTGTTTGGAGAGGCCGATCTCCAAAACCCAAAGGATGAAGCAATCCGTCTGTTCACTTCCCATTTCTTGTTGACCAGAAGCCCGGGCATGTCCACTCAGGGCACTGAGGGGCAGCTAGAAGGTACTGGAAGCAGCCCTCCATCGTGCCCCGGGAGAGGCTGAGTTTCCACCAGCCTGTGGTGTGGCAAAGGACACAACGATGTGCACCAAGCTCTCAGACTCCAAAGGTATTGCCTTTGGGTCAATCCTGGTTCATGGCGAGCCTGTGGGACACAGTAGACTTGCCCCGGTGGGTTTCTGAGGCTGTAAATCTTTACAGGAGTAGAAAGTCTCATTTGTCTCCCTTGGAGCAGCTGGCGAATTCAAACCACTGACCTTCTGGTTAGCAGCCCAGCATGTACCCCACGACATCACCGGAGCTCCTTCACCGAGACACCCAAACCATCATCTTCAAGCCAATCCATTAGTGCATCTTGTCAAGTCCCTGTGTGCCACACCTCCCCCCCCCCCCCACACACACACACACAAACATCTCTCAGAGACTTTAAAACTGGCTTAGGGTCACTAGCGTGTCTTGCCTGGACCCTGGGCTAGGACTGGGGCTGGGGCAAGTCCTCCCCAGGTGGCGGGGACCTGCCTCAAGACTTAAGGGAAGACAACCTTTGTTTCCCTTGGGCGGGAGAACGGACTGGTGTGCCTTGCCAAGAGATTTCTCCTGGCTCATCGGAAATCATCCCCAGAAGGACGTGCAGGACGAAGGCAGGCGAGGGAGAAGACGCATGGCCCTGTTCTACAATGGTTGATAGATTAAGCAGTGGGGGCAGGGGGCAGACGGAGGTGCTAGAAGGACAGTAAGGCAGATAAGAGATAGCTGTCACACAAGACCCAGTGGTAGGTGTTCCCCCAAAAGCTATGGCTACATTTTAAAACTACAGAAGCAAAGAAGGGGGGGAAAGAAGACTTCCAGGGAACGGCAGCCTTCCCTCTGGGTCTTGAGGAACGAATAGGAGCTTCCCCAGGCGGAGGGGACAAAGGGGTAGAACAAACACCATATATGAAGGAGTTGGTGTCACTGGACTGCAGGCTTCAAAGAGAGAAGGAGACTAGGAAGTCTGTCCCCGACCACCCAGGGGCACAAAAGGTGGGACAGGGCTTCTGCTGGGACTTCTCGCTGAGCTGATGTCTTCCAAACTGCGTCTCGTCTCTGGCGGTTTCAGTGCCTCCTCTACGACAGGCTGCTGTGGCTGCGACAGTTGGGAAATGCAGGGTCATAGCTCACATGGGTAGTAGATTCGGGCCCTGGCCGCTCTCCAGAACTAGGCCCGGTTGGACTCGGCTCCGGTCTGCGTTCCCCTACTGGGTCGCCAGCCTCCAAATTGGCTCTCGATGACCCTCCCTAGTGTCCAGGTCACTGTCTAGCCTCTTCCCATACTGCATCTGGAGGTCTGTGTGGCCAGGAGAATGTAGCATGGTTTCCAGAGTCAGACCATAGGCATTGTGGTTGCTGTCTTGTCGTCTCTCTCTCTCTCATTACTTGTTCTGGAGGAAGCTAGCTGCCGTGTGGTAAGAAGCCCAAGCAGTCCGATGGAAAAGGTTCACAGAGAGAACAGAGGCCTCCTGCCAACAGCCAGCATCAACGTGCCAGTCGTATTAGTGAGTCATCTTGGAAGCAGATCTGCCCCCTCACCCCCATCCCAGTCAAGAGATCAGATGACCGCAGCCCTAGATGTCATTGACTATAGTCTTGTGTGTGGCCCTGAGCCAGACCACACAGATAAGCTGCTGTCTGATTCCTGACTCTAAGAAACTGTGTGTGACGTTAAGTAGCTATTGTTCTCAGCTGCTACATTCTGGGGTAACCTTGACAGTAACCGATAACTAACTTAAGACCACAGAGCACTTGCAGGTGAAGGACAGCTGTTTGGGAAACACCAAGGCCAAGAGAAACTACTGATGCCGGGAGGTGCGCAGGCGCACGGTCCGGGTCAGGCTGGGCTTAGAACACACTGCCAGTGGCCAGGTGTAGCCGGCTGCTGGGGTACTACGGAGAGGATGAGGAGGGCGGGGCTGCTCTTTGCCCCAGCTTTCCCAGGTTCCCATCACGGACATGCCTCTGGGACAGCTTCTGGGACGCTCATTACTATTTGATGTTTTCCGTTTTTCCCTTCAGATCAACTTGCTCTCTCCCACCGCTTCACACTGAGCCCTAATATCTGGGATGTAATGGGCTGGAGGTGCTTATGTGTTTGCTCATATAGATGACAAGGAACACAGGAGTCATAAAGGGAACCTTGTTCCGCTCCCTAAAAGCTTCCTTCGGGAATCCCTAGCGCCGGTCCATGTGAAATGGTGCTTTAGGAGCCAGAGTGATGGGTAAGGTGGGAGGGAGGGAGACAGGAAAGGTGGGAAGGAGGGAGGGTGGAGCAACCAATGCTTCCTCTTCCTCATCAAGCAGTTGCTGGAAGTCCACATCTAGGGGAACTTGCGTCAGAGTAGAATCCTGCTCCAGTGTTTTTCGATGGCTGATTTTGACCCCTCAGAAACAGACTGCCAGGCCTTTCTTCCCAAGGGCCCCTGGCTGACTCAAACCTCCAACCATTCAGTCGTAGCAGAGTGAATATCCAGTCAGGATACTTCTTCCTCCAGGGCCCTTTCCCTGTCTCCACCTTCGCCCTCCTCCTTCCTCTTCCTTCTCCTTGGCTACACGTCTTTCAAGTCCACCTTGACCAGTTCCACCCCCCTCCCCTTTGCCAGTGCCAGGGAAGCCCAGCGAGGGCTTCCATTCCCAGCAGGCCCCTGATTACTGTTGATGAACATGCTAATGAGGCATCAGCCCTGGGCTCCTCCCTCCTGCCTCCAGGACTGCTTAACTCGAACTCCACCAGAGTGGGCTTTCAGGACCACCTAAGGGGAGAGAAGGCAGCACCACAGGGGGCTTGAGGAGAAATCCTAGCTCTGTAGCCTTTGTCAGCTACCTCAGGAAAGGAGGCTGCCTGCAGGACTCTCAGATCCCGGGAATGAAAGAGGGATCAGGAGGGAAGCGGTCAGGGAAGGAGAGGCTGCTGAATACTAAGGGACCCTCCTAGACCACTCACCAGGCTCTTTCTGCCCAATGCCCGCCCCCTCAGGCCACATCCCAAATGCCCAGTCGAGTAGATGATTCCTACTCACGGGATCCTGTGTGGGTAGTCGAACTGCTCCCTAGGGTTTCTGAGCCTAAATCTATATGGGAGCAGACAGCCCCCCCATTCCTCCCAAGGAATGGCTGGTGGATTCGAACTGCTGACCTTGAGGTGATCACTGTGTAATTCACTACATACCTCCAGGGTTCCTGTTAAGGTCCACATTCTCAAAAATGCAAACTCACTGCTACTGAGTTGATTCCGACTTACAGTGACCCTATAGGACAGAATAGAATGGCTCCTGTGGGTTTCCCAGACGGTCACTCTTCACAAGAGCAGAAAGCACTTCTTTCTCTCCCAGAGCTGCTAGCTGGTGGTTTTGAACTGCTGATCTTGCGGTTAGCAGCCCAATGCGTAACCACGATGCCACCAACTTCCACATTAGTCAAGAGTAAGTCAATGGGCCGGGCCTGGCCTGAGCCCCACTGAGCTTACTTACTCTCTCACCCAGCGTCCTTGGCAAACTCAGACAGTTCCTGAACCTGGCTGCTGGCCAGCTCCTGCCAGTCTCCTGGGGATTCAGGACCAGACTTGAGGAGTTTGGCCTAAGCCCGAGCCAAGCTCCCTTCATCCTCCCTTCCCTTCTCTCCCCAGGAGGGGATTCCTGGGGAATGAGTGCAGAGACCAGGGGAAGGGGAAGAGATGCAGTATCCGGAGTCTAGTGGCCACTGCTGCTGGCTGAAGGGGCGCAGAGGGGCTCCCCTGCCTTGCATGCCTGTGCTCTACCCCAGATCTGGGCCTGACTCAGTTCCATGTCCCTGAGCCTCTACCTTCTCTGCCTACAGACCTGGGAGTGCCATCCTGCCTCACCCACTGTGGCTCACAGAGGAAAGGGACCCAGGCTGCGGGTGATCAGAGCAAGGGCTGGTATCTAATTCCAAAGACAGCCTCACCAGAACCATATTATTAACAGCCCCATGCCAGCAGGCCCGGGGAGGGCTGCAGAAGGGGCAGGCCCCCTGCTGGACACAGGGGGTGGGGAGGTGTCCATGGTTTGGGGAGGTCTCCAGCTACGCAGGTGTGCAACTAGGGGGTGAAAAATCAAGGTACAGTGAGAAAAGGCTTTGCTCTAAGGACAGCCTAGTATTTCTTAAGGACAAGAGACAGAAAATGACCCTCAGGCAGCCCACTGGGAGAGGGCTGGGAGAAACAAGAGGGAGAGGGAGAGATAAGTCTGGGCTGTGCCTCCCTTCTCTTGCTGCCCCACCAAGCACCTCCACCCCCAGTGTGCCCTGGGTGACCAATCAACAGCTGCTGGATGGCGCTGCGAGGCCAGCCGGCTTCCCTCTGCTCCCCGTGGGGCAGCCAAGGCTCTTGTAATGAGAAAACAAACCGAGATTACAGGACAGCAAGAAAGTAACAGAGATGCACTCAGACAACTCAGGAGATGGACACTGAGTGTCCAGCAGGGGTGTGTGTGGGTGTGTGTGTGTGTGTGTGTGTGTGTGATGCTGTCGGAGGTGTGGTGTGTGTGTGTGTGTGTGTGTGTGTGTGTGTGTGTGTGATGCTGTCGGAGGCCCTGGGGCGTCCCGGGCACAGAGA